CACTTCTTAAAACTCTATCATCAGTTGAAGGGCCAGTGGAACTCAGTACTAGTTGTTCTGTAAAACAATAATTAATAATGAAGGCTGACTTTGTCAATAAACTTAATCACAATAAAGGTGTCCATGTACACATGTTGTACAATCTACAATACATTGCATACAATGTATAGAATTTGGAGTAACTTTAAAAATTAACTAGAAAGAATGTAAAACATTGAGGGGGCTCCGCCTCCAGACCGCACCTCCCAGTCACGCCCAGACGTACGTTCAAGTTCTTGTAAGTAAGGGCTTCGCCCAATAAAAAATCTAATTTAAATTGGAATCACTTTTAACTTTTTATACAGCATTAGAACATGTATATATGTATCAGGGAAAAACACAGTTTTCTCAATTTCATTTTTGGCAAAATTTGGCCAATTACCCTGTACTACCGTATAGGAATTATATTTAACTGGTAATAAATTTCGCAAATTTAGTGTTTTCATTAAATTCACGAAATTAAATTCCACAAAAGAGGTGTGGCACACTAGTAAAAATGGCTGCAGAAGGTAAGATTCGTGAAAATTTATACCAACAAATGGCAAATCTGAATAAATTCGAAAATTTTATACCAACAAAATAAAACCCCTATACGGTATTATTATAAGTACAGGGACTTTGGCCTGATTATGGCACAACTTTTAAAAGTCATAAAAAATTCAAATTTGATTGGAATCAGCTCAAACTTTCTATACAACACACATTAATAAAATCAAGAGTGATAAAATAAATATTTAAACCATAAATTAAGTGCAAGGACCTTGTAAATTGCTAAAAAGAATTTATCTGTAAAAGCCAAAGGCAAGACAAAAATATCATGAAAGCCACACTAAAAATTTAACTTAATGCATAAAATTGAAACATTGGTGCTTAGGGTAAGTGAAAGGTGTGTTTTTGCTACTGTGAGTACTGTTCCTTCACACCCTGTGCATATACATGTACATACATATATACATTATACCTAACCTGATAATAATTCCTCAAATGTTTTTTGATCTTTCTCATCAACTTTAGAATAGTCTCTTCCCTCGTACATGTATATTGTCTCTGGTCCTCTTTCCTCCTCCTCTCC